CCCCAGCCGCTGGCCACCGGCTTGCCCACCGTGCCCTCCGTGCCCGCGGTGCCGGGCGTCAACAACCTTACTGGCCTCACCTTCCCCTGGATGGAGAGTAACCGCAGATACACAAAGGACAGGTTCACAGGTGAGTCCGGCCCGGCCGCGCGCGGCCTCCGGGCTACCCTGCCCTGCTCGGCGGCTCCGCGAAGCTCTTTCCGAGCGCCGGGGCGCCTAGAGCCTCTCCGTGCCGCGCGCTCCCCAAGTTCAGCTGCCGGCAGGATTTCTACGTGCTTAGAATGGCTAAGGAAGAGTTCTTGCAGCCTGGGCTGTCTGTCTCTCCCCTAGGACCCCGTTTATAGAAGCCAATCTTGGTCCCCTGCCAGGATCCGGGGCCCAGGCAGGTAGAGGGTAGAGGGTTGCAAATCCAGGACCACCTTCTGCCGACAGCTGAGGCGTGCAGGTCTGAGAAAGCGTGAGCGAACGTTTTTCTGTCCTGAGAGAACGTTTTTCTGTCCTGGCTGCAATCGGTCGAGAACCTCAGAATTGGACACAAGAAAAGGTTTTCCTAGCTCTAGTCCCCTACCACACACACACACACACACACACACACACACACACACACACACACTGCTCTGAGCTCTGGTACAGGTCGCTGCAGGTCTGCAAAGGCCTCAAGCCTGAGCGAAGGAGCAGGAGCAGCCTTCTTCCCGGACCGCGGGGCTTCCTCAGGGTCAGGGGCTGGCCATTTCCTTACCACCCTCCGGATCCCTCCCGGGGATCGGCTGGCTCTCTCATTTCTCTCTTGGTTCTCCAGCCAATTCGCTGGCTCGATGGCGGCCAGCTGCCATCTCCCTCTGCCTGCCCTCGCTCCCTCTGCGCTGGCTCCCTTGACTCTGTCCCGGCTCTGGCGGCTTCCATTCCTGTCCACTTCCCCGACCGCTGCTCTTAGCTGCCCCTGGATCCTGAGACTGAGCCCTCCCAGCTAGGGTTAGCAGGTTAGGGGCCCCAAACCCTGGACAGGCAGCTGTTTGTGCTTTAGAGAGGAGAGGTAGTGGATTAGGCCTCTGCTTGTGGCTAGAACTCCCAGGCGAGCTCCATGCCTGAACTGTGAAGTTTGTGTGTGTGTGTGTGTGTGTGTGTGTGTGTGTGTGTGTGTTGTTCATCATGCCATGCAGGAAAGAACAGTCTACAGCTAGACCTGTCCAGGCCACCCAAAGTTACCCTAGGCCCCTGCTTCTGTTACAGACAGCATAGGAAGGAAGACTGTCCCTGGAGGCCCTAACCAAACTTTGAGGAGAAAGGGGAAGGGGTTTCTGTGCTCACAGCAGAAAAGGGAAGGGGTCTCCTAGCTCACCGTGGAACACCCAGGGAGGGTCGCTGGTCAAGGGCTCCAGTTAATGCAACACAAGTCCTCTAGCGAGGGAGCAGACAGGGCCTGGATCGCTCACTCCTATTCGGCCCAGGCTGATATTGAGGGCCTTTGCCGGGAACACACATCATGTTTGTGTGTGTGTCTACTGTACAAAAAGCTGTCTGGCCTACCCTGGGGAGCCACAGTCAACTGTAGTGTCAGGCCTGAAGGGGGGCCTGAGGGAGCGTGTAGTTGCTGTCCTGTGTTGCCCTCGTCCCATTGCTTGCGAGCTGAAGTTTGTGGCTGTGTCTGCCCTGTGACTGTGGGGCTGTGACCGAGAGGGCACGGGGCCTGGAGGCTGGGACTGTGAGCACACTGGGCCCCTCGCTCTTTGAGTGAGCCGCTGAGGAGGCCGGGTGCTTAGCTGTCCCCAGCTGCGGGAGAGGGGAGACAGAGGGGAGGCGGACGGAGCCCCGGGCTAGGGAGGTTCCCGAAGTGGCGGCCTGGGGAGGCGTCGGCCCGGCGGGCAGGAGGGAGCCCGCCGGTCCGGGGCTCGAGGTAGAGGGCGGCGGGAGGGTGGCTGCCTTGCTTTTAGGGGGTCTAGCCGCCGCCGCGCTGGGACTCGCGGGGTGCCGGGCCTGGGACGCCTCCTGACGCTCTGCTGCTTGCCTCTGCCGTCTGTCTGTCTCCCGCTCCAGTGGCCCTCTCACCCTTCACTGTAACACGCCGTATAGGTCACCCCTATCAGAACCGGACGCCCCCTAAGAAGAAGAAGCCGCGCACGTCCTTCACGCGCCTGCAGATCTGCGAGCTGGAAAAGCGCTTCCACCGCCAGAAGTACCTGGCCTCGGCGGAGCGCGCCGCCCTGGCCAAGGCGCTCAAGATGACCGACGCGCAGGTCAAAACCTGGTTCCAGAACCGGAGGACGAAGTGGAGGTGAGCGGGCGGCCTCCCCGGGGTGCGCACGCTGCCCCGCCGGCGGGCTCGGCCGCCCGGGCCCGCGCACAAAGGAGGGCCGCGGGCTGCTGGGCCGGGGCCGGCCGCCTGCCCCG